AAAAGATGAAGATCCTTATGTCGTGCGTAACCCAAAGGCGATTTGATGACTCCTTGTTTTACGCTGACGAGTTTTCGCCCTCCCTTTCAATTGATGGAACCCACTGACTCACAAGCGAGAAAAGGCTGCCGATGTCTAGCATAGAGCTTTGGGCAGCACCGCTGGCTTTGAACCCGGCCATGACGGCTCTCTTCATATATCGGCATATGTTCGCTCGGGTAGGTCACGTTTTACTGAAATGCGAAGCAAACGCTGAATGATTATGAAGCTGCTAACGCTAGTAATTGTTTTGCACCAGAGTCACGGGCTTCATGAAGGCGACAAAAGCGGAATGAGCATGTACAATCATAAACGTTGCCTCAGGGAATATAAAGGCTTAAAGACGAGTCGGAAACAAGTTTGGCAGCTGGTTAGGTGGAATAACTGACGGGAAGGGGCCCATTATAGTTAAGAAACACGACAATAACTCATAAATTTATTTTTACTTTGCAGCTCTCCCGCGAAACAGAGTTGGGATTTATTGTGGCTGATACGACAGCATCCTGCATTGACATGCCTCACACACATCGTGCGCAGCAACATGCCTAAGTGTGGAACCATCAGGCTTGCCTGGGAACTGCCTAAATAAAAAGAAAATTGGAGTCAAATACTCGCACCTCCAGATGGAAATTGCTCACCGACGCGTTCAATAAAATCACCGAAAGCTTCGCGGCAGGGACTTTTGATAATGTGGTTGGTAATTCTGAAAGAATAATGACACCTGAAAATTAAACGAAGAACGTTATATTCGGTATCGAATAGAAGTGTGTAACTGATTGAATGTCACCTAGATCATCCGAGAATAAGCAACTGTGTATCCTATTCTGCCTAAATCATAGCGCTCCGGAACGATAAACATGTTTAGGAACAGGAATAATCGATCTACAAAGTCAAACCGATTTCACAGTCTTTTATTCTTGAACACATTGAAGATTTTTCGCAGTTAGCATTTGCCTATTTAATTTATAATTCAGTGGTGAAAATAAAAATCATTTCTAGAACTCGAGATGAATAATCCTATGATGAATCGAAATAAGAAGATAAATCTAAGCGCATTTACCTTTTTCCCAAAATAAAATGTATATTTCACATTTCACTACTACTTTTCATAGCCTAAATGACCACACGATTCCGCGTTGTTGTATTGGCCGGGGACTCATTGTTACATCTGGCTATGGGATTGCAAACATAAGTACTATAATATCGCTTGAGGAATTTAGATAGCTACTTCTGCCTTTTTTTATTTAATACATTTTGAATTGGTGTTTCTTTTCGTCAAGGTCGGTTTCATTGAAATCTTAAAACCTATGTCTGAATTTCGCAATAAAAATGGCGTAAAACATGGTCGATTTTAAAAGTTTCTTTACATGCGGCAGGGACGAAGACAGTAATTACAAGAAATAGCAAATAAACACATTCAGTTTAATAAGGTATCAACTAGTGTCAACCGTTACATGAAACACAATCAAGTTATATACCTCTGTGACACGGGCCGTTTCAACAATCAAAAACGTTGATTGAAACCGAGACAAATCCAAGACTGATGTAACACACTTTTTTAAGTGATTTTTTATTACTTATAAACGCTCAATATAAAGTATATTGAATTTTTTTTTTTATTGTTAGGGTAAAGAAACGATAGAACGTTTAAGACAAATTTAAGCAAGAAAGACACAACTAAAGTCTTTTCGGAACTGACATGACAATAGCAGCGCTCGTCGAGCCTGGGCTCTCGCGACGTGCCGTGATCGTTCTAGCGGCAGTTCTGGCCCTGAATACCTCTTCCGACAATATTTGTTAAGGCGATACTTTCTAGGTGGTGCTCGTGTAACTTTAGGCTAGCTGTATAAATAAACGCTGAAAGTGCACGTCCGTAGAAAAAAAAAATTACACGAGCATCCATCGGTGGATTTTAAAGAAAAAACCTAAAAAGAAAAAAAAAATTCAAACAATTTGGTTAAGATGCGCGTGTCAAAAAAAATAAATTTTACGCGAAAAAAAAATATTTTAGAGCAATATTGACGGCGAGAGATTTATTTGAAATTCTGCGCGCATAGTCCATGGCGTCACGGAATGGTCATTCGCTCTTTCGACACCAAGGACATCGTCATCCGCTCTTTCCGCCTCAACGTGAAGCCGACGCCGATCGATCTCTCCCCCACGCGCTTGAAATGCGAGAGAGAAAACAAGTGAAAGGGAGGTGACTACGGACTAAACCGCGTCTCACGACGTCAGTATTGCTGTAAAAAAAAAAAAAAAAAAAATTGTTTTTGCGTAAAATTAGTTTTTTTACACGCGTGTCCCAACCAGACTATATTTTTTTTTTCTTTAGGTTTTTTTTAAAGGAATACTGAACCGTAATTTAGATTTTGCAAAATAACGCCGTAGGAGCGTTGAACGGGACGCTACGAACTCCAAAACATCACTCATACATCGGTATCTCAAACGGATGGCTGTACTTTTTTTAAGAGAAGAGCGCGATCAAGCGAGGACAATGACATCACGATCCTTCTGGAACAGTTGAGAATGAGGGGAAGCGGCCTCGCTTCTCTCCTCCTCTCTTCGGTTCACCAGCTCGACGGGACGAAGCGAGGAGGAGAGGGAATGAGAATCCTGACGCGACTTGACTCGTCGGCTTCGTCGGCCGTATTTTCCAGAAATACGGCGATCTGTTAGAGATATCGCTGTGTGAGTGATGTTTTCGTGTTTTGCAGTGTCCCGCCTATCAGTCTAGCCTTGTTTTGTGAGCTCGAAATTTCGGTTCATTTCGGTTCAGCCGTTATGATGACCCTTGGAAACGCCACACACATCTTCCTTTGGGAAACGCTAACGCTTCCTCTTCACTTTTTTCTTTTGGCCTTCTTTCTTGCTCTTTCTATTTTTTGCTCCCTCTTTTTGCCTTCGTTGCGGGAGCGTTTCCCAAAGGGGACGCGTAAGGCGTCTGTTTATTCTTTATTTAGAGAACCCCTACAGCGCCTAGAAGGCATTATTGCAGAGGGCGAATAATAACGAAAATAACGTATCAGCATTTGCAGCACAAACTATACATTCAGGACTGTAAAGCGTTCAAGTCCTCGACCGTCCTCACAAAAAAAAAAAACGAATTTTTGCAGAGCTCCGTCCTAGTACAGTATTCGCGTATCGTGTGCACATGATCATTACGTTTGAAAAATATTTTGATTTTAAGAGGTATGATGAGCTTCATGATAAATGCTGCCAGTAGCTTCATGATAAATGCTGTAAAAAAATTTCAACCGCAATTTTTTTTGCCGAAGTTTCAATGACGCCCATCCTAGTGATTGTTTTATGTTAGTAACACTAGAAAAACGGTCGTACTGGCCCAGGACGAAGCGTGCGGCACGATTTTGTATTTTTTTCCAAGCCATCAATGCGATCTTTTTAAGAGTCCCACACAGTGCATGCGTAATCTAGAAGTGGCCTTACATATGGCAAGATATGCTAGTTCTTTTATTTTTTGTGTAGCGTTTTTTTATGTTTCTTTGGACAAAGCCGAGTGCGTGACCCGCCCTCATAATGACATCATCAATCTGCGAATGTCACGTGCAGTCGGATGACAAAATGACTCCGAGGTATTTTACTTTATTCTCATTCGTTACTAGCTCATTGCTTAAATAATACTGTGTCAATTTATTTTTTTTTTTTTTTTGGTACGTGTGAAGCTAACATGAACACATTTCTTTACGTTAAGTTGCATCCCCCATTCACCGCACAAATGTTCTATTCGATCTAGGGCAGCCTGCAGTTGTCCGGAACCCTCCCCGTTCTTTATACGCGTATACACAGCGCAATCATCAGCAAATAATCTCAGCAGGGAAGTTACATTGACATGAATATCGTTGATAAATATTAAGAATAACAATGGCCCCTGAACCGACACCTGTGATACACCAGACGTAACTTTAACAAAATGAGACGCCTCGCCGTTTAAAATTACACATTGCTGACGCGAACTCAAGTATGACTGAATCCATGTTAGTGTGGTAATATCTATGTTCAAACAATTCAATTTGTGAAGTAAGAACGAGTGCGACACTGTGTCAAACGCTTTCCAAAGGTCATGCTAACGGATTCCTTAAAGATCCGCCAAAGGATCTTCCTGTAATTTTTCTCACCCATTTTCTGAGCTCTCTGCCTGTCAGAGTACGTCGACGCCCTTGGATACGGTCACCCATATCACCCGTGGAAAGTTCCAAATCCATACCATCCGTGGAAGGATCCATCGTTTTAAATTCACACACACATCACAACCCACGCACCGCTACTACGGAAACCCAGAGCGAAGAAAGCCGGCGATGGCAGAGCGGCAACTATGCACGCGCGCACACTGACGTCACAAGGGCGAGGCCGAGGGAGTCGGGGGGCAGACCGCCCCGGGTGCAGCGCTCACAGGGGTGCAGCTTGGTGATTTGAGGGTAAGGTCGCGGCGGGTTACCGCTCGTATTCCACTGCGGCGTGGCGCAACACCTCCTACATAACAGAGCCACAGTGCTGAATGAAATGGCGTCATCAGGGAAGGCCAACTCTGGGCCCAGATTGGACACGACTATTACGTCAACGTTCGGCTCAAAATTCAAACTTCACTCGAAGGCAAGCACTGACGCAACACTCGTTTCCAATCTGTGTCCAGCGTTGGCCTTCTCTGATGACGCGCGATCTCATTGAGGACTAAGGCTTTGTTATGGGGCGTTGCGCGGCGCGCCTCTTCCTCCGCCAGCTGTGCGCGTAACTTTGACCAAAACCCGGCGGTGTCTTTCTGTTTGTCAACAACGGGGAGAGAGGGAGAAGGAGGGGGAGAGGCTAAATAAAAAGGGAAGTGTTTCTTTTCAGCAGGGCCTGTGTGTGTGTATGTGTGTCCGGGGCGGGGGGGGGGGGGGGGGGGGGGGGGGGGCAGCAGCAGATGTAATTGCTCTTACGCGCGGTGAAGACATCATCTTTCTCACCAGGAAGTCCTCGGGGTTTCGGACAGCGTCGTCGTTTTGTTGTGCCAGCACGCACAGTATGTCTGTAAGGAGATCCGGCGCCACGGTGGGCATGTCCCTCGCGAACAGGCCCTCCTCCTCGAGCCCGTTTGCCATCTCAACCCGCACCTCTTGTCGCTCGCCGGCACGCACGCGCGCAGACACGAGAAACGGAGTTCTCGGAAATAGCACCTGTCTGCCTCTGGGCTGACGCAATGCTGAGCCGGCTGAGCACGGAAGACGGACACCCGCAAAGCAATCAACTTTGTCAACACGAGCACGCAACACGTTCGTCTGCTACGTCTGCTACCATGAAGAACGAAAGTGTTCGTTTGGTTATATTTTGATAGTAGACGTTTAACAAATAAAGTATCAACGTATATGTTGATATTTACTTTATAAAGTGTAAAAATGATTAGTTCTCAAAGTATGAGATATGATCAAGACGAGCCAATGTGGCGTTCGAAACTTGAAACTTAGCCCTTGCAGCGTATTGGTCTAGCAACCATGAAACCAGAAACTTCGTTAGAAATTGAAAGAAGGTCGCAAGCTCCCTCGAAGCATGCGGTTTGGTTGAGCGAAGTAATATAGTAGTTCTTACCTGTCCTATTCAGTCTACCGAAGGCGATGTTAGGAGTTTTAAGCAGGTGTCAGCGGCTCGCTCTCCCGAGAGTCCTGGCCAGCAGCACGCAGAAAATTGTGTCCTGTCGAGTAAGCGGGCTCTGAAACCACCCAGCATATCCGGCAGCAGTCGATTCAGGGCGTGAACCGGGTTTGTTTTGTTTCAGCAAACACCGGCTCAGTCTTCGCTTTGTCCATCCTGCCTCCGGTCCGAGAGTAGGCGTTTCGCGAGCACCAAAGAGGACGGCAAGAAGAAGAAAGGGGTACGTTACAAGACTCCGGACACCCCTCGTCTGTACGCGGCGGAGTCTGTGCAAGTTCCCAGCTCTGTTCTCAGAGTGCGATGTGCGGGGTCAGCGATTTCGTGAATAGGCTGCCCACGATTCATATGTCTAGAAAATGTCAGAGTCACGAGAAGCAAAAGCTAAATATTTATAGAAGTCCTTTAGCTCGGATGGGAATTTTGCTCGTGATAAAGTCGAACAAAACCAAGTCCCTAACTGTTTTTCATCGCTTACTTCACGATGAACAGTAGGTACATAGACGGTGAAGCTATCGCAAGATGACAATTTTTATCAGCCGGTTAGCAGCTAAATTACTTCTTGTTTTCCTTTTCTTTTTTTTTTTTTGCGAGAGCAGGGAGCATTGTCATAATTAGGCTGCTTCCAAAAGTTCCTGCATGCACCACTGCGCACGTTGCATTGTGGGACCTGGTTTGCCATGGAGAGGAGTGGCATGGTTTTGGTTGATGGTCGCAGTAGTGCATCTCGGCACTGCATAAAAATTAGGTCAGCGCTTGCTTGCATTGCACCATTCAACTTCATGAGAGCACTCGTTGAAAAACAGACCTCCAGCAGCCATAAGGGGCTGCCACGGCTTAGTGAGGAGTATGGCCTGCCACGTCCCATGCCCGTCTAGCAGCTTGGCCACCACTCCAGAGTGCAGCGTGAGTCTATAGTCTCGCGGATAATCTAAGAAGCTTAGGACATTAGGAGTCAGTGGAACAGGATGACCGGCCCAGTGTACTTGTTCACCACTTTCATGCTGTGTTTAACCGCCCAAAAACTCCGGACGTCAGGAGCCTGAATAAAGGTGCATTCCATCCTTCTCGGCAAGCAACGCCGACACTATCATAAATTTAAAGAAAGCTGCGTCTTTGAAAATGCAAGCACTGTATTTGGTCTTGACACAATGTCGTGCAGAGAGGTTGGCCAATCGAAACCGAAACTTGGTGACCGTGTTCCCAAGATGCTTTGCTCGGCATTACACTGCTGGTTTCTGAGGGAGTGCATTTAGATCTTGTCTTAGTGTTCTGCCAGCACTTGTCGGATTTTACATGTATATATTTTTTTTTACAAAATAAACCATTCAGCTGAAAGTTACGCCGTGTCCTGCTTTTTGGCATCTTATCAAGTGGTCTCTGAAATCTTTGTGATGATTGGTGTCTGACTGCATTAGGCACGTTCAGCTTTCTATTGCCATCAGATGTGCTCCGATCTTCAAGTCTCACTCGTGAGTGCAGGGAAACAGCTTCTCGGTATTCATTGTGCACCAGAGAAGCTAGTTCTTTCTATGGGAACCTCCCTTTCCATGGGGAGACTGTCATTGGGGTAGACGTGTGTTTCTGAGGATCACTTGGATGCATGCTTCAAAGTGACTGAAGATCGGCAGTAAGTGACGTGTACTCTTCCGTGACGGTATGCCCTCCACTCGGTGCAGTCTTTGCCCGTGTAAAAAAGGGCCGGTAACAAATAGAAAGCAGTAACAGTGGAGTCTGTTTTGTGCCCACTAACCGGCACTCTGCATTTTGCGCAGCCAATAACGTGGAAGAGCCTCGGAATCACTTTTGGAATTGGCGGTGCCCTCCTAGGCTGGATGTTCTACATCAAGAAAGAGAAGCAGCGAGGTGAGGGGGACCGGGAGTAGCACTCTGCTTCACCAGCTCTTGGTTAGTCGCAGTGCCGGAAGGGAGCTCCCAGCAAGGCGTGCGGCAGAAATGCCCTTGTGGCTGGGAGCTCTCAGCTTGCAAATGAAGCTACGTGCTCGCATTCCCACCGAAACTGGGGCAAAAGGGAATTGGCAGCATGTAGAAGGTGGCTTCAGCCAATGTCCACAGTATGGGCTGCCTGCACATCTTGTGGAAGCACACGCTGAATAAGAAACACGCAGTCAGTGTCAATCATGGCTAACCGACGGGCAAGAGTGTGAAGCGGCTGGCCCGACAGAATGGCGGGGTACGAGAGCTGGTGAAGGTTGAACAAATTGTGGCACTGTGGAAAGACTGAAAGGCGGGCACAGTGAGGTCCCGTGCGTTTGTGCTGTCCCGTCTCGCTGTTAAGGTTTCATCCTACTGATGCCTGAATCGGAGAATGACTGGGAGGCAGACGTTAAGGGTCCCAGTCATTTTGGGTTTGTTCACGCAGTGAGGTCTTCCATCTCAAGCTGGACCTTTGTTGGACTAGCTGCCTTTCAAGAGATTCATTTTCAGCTCTTTACAAACATTTCACAAGATTTTACAGGCTCATATTTTATTGTGGGTATGTTGCGTCCAACTTTTTTTTTTTTGCAGGGTGTATTATAGAATGAAGATGTATGTTTAACTGTGGAAGAAATTTTTGCATACAGTTTGGACGGGGCAGACTACTTTGTATTATAAACTCGTCAAGAAGCAATGAGAGAGAAGCAGATGCAGTGATGGAAGTGCTGCGCCAAATTGCGCCACGAACGAAAGTCTGCTACACCTTGCGCCAAAATGCCATTTTTGCTAAGAATTGCGCCACACCTGCGCCGAGATGGGCTTAAAGTAAAAAAATGAATACTTAATTATTGGTCAGCTTTAATATTCAGAGAAGTAGAACCAAAGAAAAACTGTACAAATATGAATTTCACAGCATCTACTCACCATATAGTTTGTTTTGTCTTAGGTCAGAGCACAGTCGAAGGCTCGAACACACACAACCGAGAACACATACTAAAAGTGCACGGGACATTTGTTGCACTTGATTGGTCTAGCCGATGAAACAACACATGCAAGATGATGAATGCCAGAATGTCACGCTTCGATGCTTCAAATCAACCGGCCAAAGCCGTTGATGCCGGGCATCAACCACTCTGACCAGTTCATGCGCTGGCTGGTTGATTGCCAACACCGTCTAAATTTCCAGTCGATGTCGTGAACTAAAGCCCCGAGAAAACTTTGCAAAATTGTAAGATTGCCGATTGTGGCTACTGCGATAAAACAAAACCCGAGTCTTGTACTCCTGATAAGGTCACTTGATTATCATGTCTGCCACGTAACTTTGTTTTGCGGCTGCGGAGTACCGTGGCACTTGCACCGCTCGCGTCAATCTCCACTGTCTCTCATCAGCGTGCATGCATCAAGCTTCACCGCTCTGCACCGGAGTGCTAGGAGCAGCGGCTGACCTGGAGCAGCACCTGGCTTAGCACAATAGGCACACAGATTATGCTCAGTGTTATTGCCAGTTGACCTTTTGTGTCCTAATTGTAAATTATTCTCTAATTACAAAAAAAAAAAAAAACTAAGCAGAGAGAGTGAGTGGAAAACACGGGTCTATATACAGGGTGTCCCAAAAAATATTTACAGGTTTTTTTTACCTCAATAATAAACTATGCATCGCCGAACGCTGATTCTCCGCCAAAAAAGGTAGCGCTAGAGGTCCGAGCCAGATGCCAAAGATTAAACGCTAACCAATATTTTATATAAAAGTTATAAATTATTTTTTGAAAATTTCAATAGGAAAATGGGGCCCCTTTTCACCCGTTTTCGGTTTATGGCGCCATAGAGCTCCATGTAATCGAGAGCTCCGTCGGTCACCATTTTCCCGTCGAAATTTTCAGAAAATCACATAACTTTTAAATAAAATACATTGGTTTGTGCTAAAACTTTGGCATCTGGTTCGGACCTCTAGTGCTACCTTTGGGCGGAGAATGAGCATTTAGGCATGCAGAGTTTATTTTTGCGGTGAAAAAAACCCTGTAACTTTTTTTTGGGGACACCCTGTATATTTTAATAAATACGGTAGTTACAGTAATTCCCGTGTAGCTGTTGATCGAAAGAGCAGCGAACTTTGATGCAACTCTGGTTCCTACGCAGGTAAAGAGCAGTGTCCCTTTTAAAGCACAAGTGTAGGCATTTCTAATATATTTGGTTGGCTGTTTTTGCAGGTTCTGACATTAGATTCTTCAGTTTGGTAGGCTCATTAAACTTATGGGATGCATTTTTATTGGCGGGCGTGTTAGTGGGGTTATGCTGGTTCTTGCTGACATTTTACATAAATTATATTTACAGGCTAAACAAACTACTGATTGTAAAATGGCAAGGAGAGAGGGGATTTATCCCATTGAAGTGTTGTGCAATGATTCACTTTTCAACCATTTTTTAATACCCATTGTAAATTAAACCTACCCTGGCTAGAGCCTTTCTTAAGAAGACTGTTCCTTTTACGTAGAGCCCTGCATCTCCACGGATTACCCGCGGATATCCGCTCTAAACTGGCGGATGCGGATAAAAATGAATCAAACTTGGTGAATTGCGGATTGGATACGGATGCCAGGGGCTGCGGATGCGGATATCCACGGATCCATTTCTACATTTTTGCTGAGGCGGCATATAAACGTGTGACTGCGTAGTGTAGAGTGAATAAGTGGGTGATACTATGAAGTGCATCATCTCAATTTATTGCGGTAGCAAACTACTCCCTTCGATAAAAGGTGCCAATCGGGGAGAAAATTGTACTTTACGTCAAGAAAGATTTGGTTCTCGCCGAAGATCAGTTTAGAACGTTCTATCTCAGAAAAAGATGCTGTCCTTAGAAAAAGTAAAGAATGCAGGTATATCAGTCATCCCAGGAAAGCGTGTTCTTGTTTGGCAAGGAAAGAGCAGAAAACATTCTTTGGGGGCAAAGAAAACCCAAAACATACAAGTCACAAGAAAGTAGAAGAAGCCTGCAAGTGGCTTCTTCGCCTACAAGTAAATCGACGAGACTGAATTCGATCCCCTAGAGTGGTGGAACTTGCGCCAGCACAAACTTCCGCACCGCATTCTTGTAGCGCAGTCCGTGCGAGCCATCCCAGCATGAAGTGCACCGAAGGAGAGAGACTTCTCATTAGCGGTTGTTAATTTAGGTGATGCTAATCACTCTGAATCCGTCTATGTTGACGATATTCTGTTTCTTCTAACAGCAACCTCGACAAGTGAAACGTTGCGTGTGGGTGCGTTTTCTTTTTTTCGACAGTTGGCACTGAGTTTTATTTATAAGTATATGGATCCGAGCATGCAGTTGAGGGGTTTCGTTTAACTGAAACCGATAGGTGTTGCCGTTATTGAATATTGGGAAATTTCCCAGTGGTGTACTCGCGCCTTACCACAGATACACAAGTACTTTGCTGCGGCGAATGAGCGCCTTTCCTCTCCCGCTTTTTTTTTTTTTTTTGTCTAAATAAGATGACGCAATCTTATTAGTCTGTCATTTGTTAATTTGCATGTTAATAAAATAAATGTCGGCTTAAAGTGGGTTTTACAAAGCAAAATAATTATTAAAAGTTTCTTCCTTTTGACTGCATCTTCTGGACAGAGTGTCAGTGTCGGGTGGCCCTCAGTTGGTCGAACGACGTTTTAGCAAACGTCAGCTTTTCTTTGAAAGACACTATAGCGAATGGTCGGCCGCCGTGAAGCGGCGTTTACGGGTGGGCCAGAGGGGCTAGCATTTTTGTAATGAGCCACTGCAAACTGCTACTGCGAAGCGGCGTGAACGCACCGGGGAAGGGTAGGGTTAAGACATGCCCTCATCATTTGCTAAAACAATGATTCGTTCAAATGACCATTGTTTGCTAAAACGTCGTTTGTTCATGATATGAACCCGTTAGTGTCACGGACTGCCTAGACAATCTCATAACTGCGATCATCTTTTCAGTGTAGCGAAGTGTCTCTGGAAGTATGATCGCTTATTTTAGAAATACGATAAAACAGAATACGATAAAATTACTTTCACCGTATTCTGACACTAACAGTTTGTTGTGCAAAGGTAAGCAGACGGCTTATAGAATAATACCATTCGTATGCTTTTTTACAGCAAAGCTGTTATGTGCTAGGATCTGGGAAAAAATGCTTCCACGGATGTTGACAGAAAACTCCCTATTGGTCGTGGCAAGTGTGAAGGAATAAAACTAAAGAGGGGGGCAACCAGCATGAGTCATCCTTCCTTGGCATTATTAGATAGTGAGGTCCTGATCCCTTGTTACCATCTCTAGGCACCGTCCTTGAGCTTGTCTTAGAAGTCATCTTTGAGGTCGTCCTGGAGGTTGTCCTAGAAGTCGTCCTTAAGGTCGTCCTCAAGGTCCTTTTAGAAGTCCTCCTTGAGGTCGTCCTCGAGGTTGTCCTAGAAGTCGTCCTTGAGGTCGTCCTCGAGGTCCTTTTAGAAGTCCTCCTTGAGGTCGTCCTAGAGGTTGTCCTAGAAGTCGTCCTTAAGGTCGTTTGAGAGGTTGTCCGAGAGGTCGTCTTAGACGTCGTTCTCCAGGCATCGTCCTAGACGTAAAAAAATAACAGCTTCGCTGGTCCTCCATCTTTACGTGAAGTGGAAGGGCTCTACAATTTTTTAATTTTTATTCATGCTTGATTTTATGATGCAAAATGAATGCGTGGATTGAAGGAGTTATGCGGTTCCGAATTGTTTGGATGCGGATACAAACTCTGCGGATGCGGATACGAATATTGAAGAACATTGCGGATGCTGTTCAGATGCGGATACAAAGTCTGCGGATGCGGATCCCATCCAGATGCAAATATTTAAGAACATTGTGGATGCGGTTCGGATGCAGATATACAAAGTCTGCGGACGCAGATTAGATGCAAATGATCAAACTTTTCAGTGCAGGGTTCTACTTTTACGCCCTATCGATACTTGTCAGAAATGGTATCAAGTAATATGCTCGAGTATCAAAGATCACTTGATACTATTATCACTATTATAAATAAACAGAGATGCAATCACTTTTTCATTTTCAAGTGATGTGGTAACAGATGTTGGCATCTGCTCCAAAAGCATCAGTAACTGCTCAAAACAAATATTTTGGCTGCTACAGAACCTGCTACAGAACCTGCTACAGAACCTGCTACAAAACCTACTACAAAAGGTCAAATGCCGCTTCCATCACTGCAGATGCAGAAAACCATGAAAAAGTGCTGTGGGACAAAGGTTATATGCACTCACCTTTAGTACACTTTGTGAGCCTGCTGCACTTTGAAACAATATGTACGGGGGCTGTCTTTCATTCAAGTATTGACAAACTCTAGAAAAACGGAACTGGAAAGAAACAACCCCCATATACACAAAGGGACTGAGGTCTAGATTAGTATCATTTGCTCTGACCAAGGCCTTGATTAGTATCAGTTATGCATACAAAATAAAAAATTTAAGAGCAAACTAAATGGACTGGTGAAGGCGAGCGGGTTGAACACGAATACATAAAATTGAAAGAAAGTGGTTGTCCTGTGCTTGTCCTCTGTGTTTTATTCTTTCAATTTTATGTATGGAAACTAAATGCCAGAGAGTTTGTTGGATTTTCCCCATTTATTCCTTCCCACAACTTAACGAACCGACATCTATTTGGGTTTGTCGGCCACTCTGTGAATCCAGAGAGCCCACATAAAGGCAGTGTGGACTGGCCTGCGGTTTCTTTTCTTTCGTTTGCTTAGAAATTGAGGTTGTCCCCTCGTTTTCGCAATGACCCTCAACCGTCCTCCTCCGCGCCACCGGAACGTGTCTTCTTGGACTGCAGAGATGGACCGAGAGCGTAAGCGGTCGCTGGGCAAGGCGGCCATCGGGGGTTCCTTCGAGCTGGTGGACCACCACGGCCAGCCCAAGAGCAGTAAGGATTTCCTGGGAAAGTGGCTCCTCATCTACTTCGGCTTCACCCACTGCCCAGACATCTGCCCGGACGAGCTGGACAAGCTGGGCAAGGTCATCGACATCGTGGGTGAGCCTCGGCCTTTCTCCCACCCTCGTTTCTGGCCGGGGGCTCGCCGGCTTCGGAAGTTGTGTAGGACGAGGTTTGTGCCGTCCAAACTATGATGCAAGGCAAAAAAAGGTAGCGACCCGTTTCACAGCAGCTGTCTACTTGTGGCTGAATGTTGCAACCAAGTTCGAAGAAACGAGCATCGAGTTGAAACAGAAATTTCCTTCTTCGTTACGCAGCAACTCTCTGGGGTGAGTGATGGTCCTGTGAAGATAGACAGAAATCTGTCGACGATTGTAAAGTAACTTTCGCATTCCAATACTTTGCACAGCAAGTCTGTCAGCAGACAAAACAATGAGTTTCGCGTTCTTTAGAGGGCTGCATTCACGGCCTGGCTAGAGTATACATTTCTTTAAACTTATTTTCGGCACGCTCCACAAGTTGGCGCACCCCTTATTTTCGCTTAATTTGCTCTCGATTTTAAGTTGGTCTTCTCTCGGGGATATTACGGTGATCTTGAATTAACAAAACGCAAAATCACTTCCCTAGGCATATTTTGCAGCCCAGCACAAATTCGGCACTCCACATTTTATGGCGGAGACTTGGCTGCATTAATGTCAGCCGGCTTACAACTGCCTCACTTACCCTTTTCTTGCGAAGGCTAAAAACCTGCCTTAAATAAATGGTACTATTCTGTGCCACATCTTACTTCGGTATGCGGCGCAGCATGGGCATTACATTGAGCACTCGGGAAACCTGTTTCTTTGCTTACGCACTGCATGCGAGCTGTTTGCTAGTCGCTGATGTGTGTCGTCAGGACCACCAAAATGTTTTTGTGGGACAACAATCTTTCGCGAGTTTAATGGGGCAGGTTGAGGAGGCGTTAACAAGGAGGACGAGCGTCTACCGCTCTGGTGTTTAGCTGATGCTCCAAAAGGCAACTCCCACAGAGTAGTCGGTAACCAACCGTCTAGGTTTAGATGTTACGGGTGATTTGCGGTCGACGCTTTGCCAAAGCTCCCGTTCACGGATGTCTCTCTTCCCAGACAACGAGATCAAGGATGTGGCACTCCAGCCGCTCTTCATCTCCATCGACCCCGAGAGGGACGACGTCAAAGCCGTCGCGGCGTACGTCAAAGGTAAGCACCCGCCTCTTCGTCGGGAGATGGGTCTGTCCGGCTTCCGACGTCGAGCCATTTGTTGTCATTTGAGTCGGCTACCGGCCCACATTGATGCAAAAAAAGGCCATTTCCGGGGTGGAAGCAAGCACTTCTTTAGACTGGAAGCCCACCATTTGGTCCCCGCATTAATTTTGTCCCTGGCCCCTTAGGCCTTCGCTCACAATCGTCGTGCGAAGCGCCCACATTCAAAAAAGGACAGATTCTCTCGAGCGGCGTTCGGCACTCACCGCCGACTTCCGTCTCGAGGTTTGGTTGTCTTTTTTGGAGACTGCAGAAAAGGAGAGCGCTAGGAAAGTGAAGCAAATTGTGGACAGTCCGTAGCTAGAGCTCTCGAGGCACGTAAAGTCCTCGGTTAATTCTCTCGACTGAGCTACTGACCGTTGAAGTATAGATTACCATTAAATTCTTACTAGATTTGGTGTAAGTTGTTTTACTATAATGTGGCTGTCTTTCGTAAAGTAGTCATCCAATTTTCTGCTACAACGTCAATCTTGTCACTCATAGACTCGGTGTCAATAGACCCGTGGCAAAACGTACAGCACCGTCCGCCGTGCCGAAAGGAATGCCAGGAACGGTAGGTGCAGAGCCAGTTGTCGCAGGCGAGAGGCCACATAGGAAACGTGGGAAGTGGGCAAGGGCACGTGGGCAACTTCACCGCCCTCTATCTCTTTCTCCCTTCAGTGCGACATGGAATGTGCTTCCCCCACCACGCGACACTTTGTGGGCATTTTTTTTTAATTTTTGAGGAAGGTGTTCTTTCTGTCATCTTTTTGCTTTAGATAAGGTCACTAGGCCATTTCTTAGTAAATGTCTCCAAATGCAATTTTGGGTGCAAAGCTGATGTCAGAAAAGCACTTCACCGTTTATTTACCTCCTTAGTTTTTCGAAGTTTTCAGTTACTTTGGTCCTAACTTGAGTCAGATTGGGATTTTCAAGCTTTGCGGTCTCGAGGAACGCTTACCTGCTCCCTCCCCCTCCGTCACGATCGCTAGACGGCAGATAGTAGTCGCAGTCAGGTGGCTAATTAATGAGAGTGCATCGGTTCTGTTTTGGTTAATGGTTTTGTGGGTTGTGTGGCAATTGCAGCGTCGAAGGCATTCGTTATTAGTGCTTATGCTTATGAATACGATTGACACGCTTTGAGGTACTATTTATCTATAGTTTTTTACATTCCTATTGCCTGATTTTGATACTACCATTCCCGCCCACAGTGATGCATAGAGGAGTGAAAATACTGGTGCCGGGCACTTAGTCGTTATCTCGGCAGCATGTCGCCGACGCTCTCACCGACGAGGTGCCAACAAGATAATGAGGAGTGCCCGGCGCGAGCATTTTCACTCTTCTATGCACCATTGTGGGCAGCGCTCGTGCTCCTTCCGCATCCAGATTCTGCATAGAGCCGCTGATGAATTACATAAAAATTTATATTGAAGCTTTTTTTTTGCTTTGCAAATTTCTTTTAATTAGTCGAGCCACTAATTAATGACCACCTTCAAAAGTGCGAGTGCAATGTGACCCATAAACCCATTGACTGTCTGTCGATGCATTCTAGTTACATCCAACTAACGGCCGTCCCCCTGTTTAATATCCACCGAGCCGAATGAATGAATGGCGAGGCTGTATCCACGTAATGGTCGCCGTTACGAATGAGCACCTGAACCCTGTCACTTCTTAAGAAAGAGACCTGTGTGGGCAATGCGTGTACAAGGGCCTCACTCCCTGCAGAGTTCCACCCGAGGATCCTAGGCCTGACGGGCTCCAAAGAGCAGGTGGAGCGGGCCTCCAGGGCGTTTAGGGTCTACTTCAGCGCGGGGCCCAGGGACGAGGAGCAGGACTACATAGTGAGTACTCTGGCCACCCCCTCCTGTGCCGAGCGCAGCGATGTGATTGCTGCGCCAATTGCGCCAAATTGTGCCAAGGGGCTAACTCTGCTACATCCTGCTACATTTGACCAAAATATGAGTAATCTGCGCCAAGCCTGCGCCAAAATACCAATTTCGGTCGCCTTTCAATACCGAAACTAAGCTGAGTACCGTAATTGGGCATGCCTGTGTTATGTGGCGCAAGCGGCCGTCCGACACAAAGTACCCTGCACCAATTGGCCATCCGGTTTTGCATGGTTTTCCCTCTGTCTCGCGTTTCGCGCTCTCGTCGTCTCGCAAGTCTCGACTCGCGTCTTTTTCAAAACTATTTTCAACGATAGACGCGGGTGTACGCGGACGCTCCGATGCTAGCGTGCCGGGTACCAGCCATGCCGTCATGCTGTGAAACGAAACCACGTTTTTGCGCGGCGGGAGTTACTTTGTTAGCTGAAGCACTCGCTCCTGAAAGCAACGGCCCTGGGAAAACTATATTTGGTACTTGCCTTCCAGTCAGCATGTTCGCGCGACGTCGGGTGTTGCCGTCCTAACGTCCCTGCAGATATGGCGCTTTCTAAAATGAAACTAAGTGCCGCAGCATGTTCATCAACATTCCTGTTCTTGTTTAAATCATACGTTACTATAAAAGTCCCTCTTTAACTCAAAGACTGCTCTGCCAAAGTATTGATTACCTAGGTTTCTCTCGGTGGGCTTTCTTTCAAGAGGGACCCCGGTACATGAAAAATCTGCCGCGAAAGAGAGTCGGTGAAGGGAAGTGAACTGAAGCAAAGAAGGCAATGTCTGCACGCTGAACCCGCACAGCGCGCTTGTTTGTCTCAAGTTCAGTCATTGCACGAAGCGCTCCAAGAAATTTTTGACCCTGGCTCGCGATGCCTTGCATCAATGCGCTCAAGTCCTTTTTTTTTTTTTTGTGTGTGTGTGTGTGTTTAGCTTGTATTTTGTTTACCAGCGTGGCAAGCACGCGCCGCTGGACTGTTTTTTGGGGCGTATGCTCGACAGTTAAATTTAAACGTAAACATTTTTGACAGAGGTCTGTCTGGTTAGGGAGAAATTGACAGAGTTTTTGCGGAAACTTTGGTTAGAGTCCGCAAAAACTCTGTCGACAGTTACATTTTGCATACAATTTTGGGAATCAGTTGGCGACAAAGCGGAGTGGCATGGTTTTGGTTTCGATCGAACTGCCGTTGTCTCCGCTCGCGCGACGAAGCACGCACAACTGCAAGCCTGCGGAAGTCGTTCTCACGTGCATGCGAACATGATTGCACGACAGAGGCACCAGCCGGTACGCTTGCAATCCGGTGTTTCACGTTTGCTTACTTTTGACGAAAATCTGGCACGTTGGGAACCAGTGAAATGGTGACAAGCGTTTTTTCGGAATTGCTCGGCAATGCCTACAGCACTGTACACTTGTGGGATGTCTCAGCAGTAAAACCATAAGCACCAGGTTCCGTCACAACTAGTCAAATGAGAACACAATACAGCACAACACAACACAAACTGCCCTTCGTTTATCAGCACTGAAAACAAATATTTTTATTTTTATTAGGATATCTGCTCCAAGAGCGACTTTTGCCGCTCCGAAACATTGTCTTGGCTGCTCCAAAAGCCACTTTTGCTGCTCCAAAACACTGTTTCGGTTTCTCCAAAGGCCACATTTGCTGTTCCAAAACACTGTTTTGGCTGCTCTGAAAGGTGCTCCGAAATGGCTTAGGCCAATGACATCACTGCGAGCGTCTTTTCGGAAATAGCATTCAAAGTAACTTTTGTGTCCGAGGAGAAAGAGCCAGTTTCGGTAGACAGGACTTTTCTCTTCTCTTTTAACGACGGAGAGTTCTGGCGAACCGGTTTGCATCACCGATCGGTTGAGCCATGATTGCCGCACGACGTGCCGCCAATGCGTCCTCGCTTCGATCGCAAAACACGATCCCGCTCTTGGTAAAAGATGAGGCTGGAAATGGACACGAAACGAATTTCCCTTGCATACCCAAGAAGTGGCACAAAAAGTTACTAGGGCCATGTTCATCAAACGACCGTACGAGAAAACCTAAGATTGAATCCGTATTCATGCAGCGAAATGACCAAGTTTTGCGTAAATTGCGATGGAATCCTACGACTGCTCCAGAGCTGTCTTGTGGCCCATTCAAACTGGAAGTGGATCCACAACCGCGAAGCGGATTAGCATGTTTTTAACTGCAGAGCGGCTTGAACTGCACGGTTGGGGTATATTTTTGCCAACTGCTTCAGTACCGGTTTTTCCCACGTTGCCGAACCGCCAAGCAGCAACCAATCGCGATGCGACGCTGATGTAATGTCAATGACTTTCGAAACAAACTGATGCCCGTCATCGGTGAGGCATTCTTTAGGTGCTGTCTAATCCTAGCATTGCAGCAAACAAATCAGAAAAGAAACATGATGTTCACGTCTGTCGCTTGGATCTGTCGCCAAAATAATTGACTCGTAATTTTAGCTTGCTTCGCTGCGGTGGTTTGATTCAAGTAGGCTAATTTGTTGTTCGAGGTACCAAAGCCCGTCGCCACACTGCCTCGTTAGTCTTCGCCTCTAGAGCTTCGGAACCCGCCTCCAATCACCCGAAGTGACATGTTTTGTACCCACTTCGTCAGTTGTGTAAATTGCTGCAAGTTATCGACACCGTAGATGACGACCAATGAGACAGATGTAGGCGTTACAAGCATAATTGCGTTACCTATGCTACAACAGAGTTGGCATGACACCCAAGACAGCTGCACTAGCTCGACCCAAGACGTTCGTACAACCTAAAGGAATAAAGGGCAGCTACACGGTAACTAAAGTGTATGTACCACGTGATGCATAGGTAATTCATACAGCGTTTATTTGAGCTTAATGTCAAATGGCAGACCCCAATCGACATGCGACGAAAGGAGAGACTGCCACCAACCAAACCACACCAGAAATGCCACCCACTACTCCGAAAATGAAAAAGTCAATGACGAGGGGTAAAAAGGGTCCGGACCATCCTTCTCTCAACCAGGACGCCATGATTCAGCAGGGCGTGCCTAGTTGGGCTTTGCTTGTGGGCAAGCTTGGGTAGGTCAGAGGAGGGAATCACCGGCGTGACTCCACGGGTCCATGTCTCTTCTCCTGCTGCCCAAACTCTGGATGTGCGCAAACAGTACACAGAAAAACCTTCTGTACAAAAACAGCTCAACTTTGTCTTTGGATCATAAACTAAACTGAATTTTGGACTGTAAGACAAGGTTGCCAAATCCAAGTCCCGAAAGATCACGCGTGATGGCTGAAAAACCACCAACCGCGTGTTGCTGTGTTTCATTGGGGTCGCTCGTAAACCGCATTTGCAACCGCTTAGCAAATGCAGCTCAATCGCCAGTGTGAATGCGCCAGTACACACTTCTTACGACTAAACTAACATGGTCGTCAATGTCACTTGGTTACATCATCGCGAGGACCAACGGGCATTTATTTTTTTTACCTGGTCTCCGTGCAAGTCCCGACTTCAAGCAGCGAGTGAAAAAAATAAAAGTACTCAAAACTAAACGTTGTGGAGGCGAATGTTGCATCCACGGACTCACGGAAAAGGATACAACAATAACAATCCCACCAACCAAGCAACTGCCAAAGACTAGCTACGAACACGAGGACTACCGAGCGCGATAGCTCCAACGGTCCCTGGTCACGACCGTCTGTCTTGCTAAATGGAAGATGCCCGCACAATCCTTTTTTTAATGTGTTTGCATTAGTGCCCTAGTACAGTTAAACCCACTTATAACGATCCCACATATAACGACCTATCGGCTATAACGACCAACTTTCAAAAAATATACGAATTCAAGGCCCTACCTATTAAAATTGGTCCAGATAAAACGGCCGTTTTTTAAAGCATCTTACTGTTACAAGAAACACAAAATCTGCTTTCAAAAAAAAAAGAAAAAACAACCCGCGCGCAAAAAACAAAAAGAAAAAGCAAGGGAAAAAAAAAGATTTAGAGAGATTCCAGGCGCGGCGGTAACGCGAGACGCTCAAGGTCATTTTCACAGCATCGCGGCAGGGGAGAAAACAAAACTACAAAAGCGAAAACGGCCTCTCGGGTCGCGTAGTCTGCTCATTGTACGCGCGCGGGAAGGAGAAGAGGACGAGGGTCAACTCTCCTGCCGTGCTTGCTGCGTTCGTTTGTTCGCGTTCGTTCTATGCGAAGTGTATGCAGCTCACGAAGAGCTCAAAGCTCGCTACAAGTTGGCTAGCCCCATCGCCATTGTTACAGTTTGTTTACGTTGGCTTAGAAGGGCGCGAGAAATCAAATCAAATGTTTGTCTTTCTTAGACTTGGGCTAGGTGGCACAAGCTACCACCTGATACAAAGGGTATAGCCAGTAACATCCATCCATCCATCCATCCATCCATCCTTCGCCATTTTGGTAACATGCACATTCTCTCGCGTCTACGGACTCGTGTCTGTCGTTTTAAGATGGGGGAAAAAAAAAAATCCACCAAGAGGCTTCACTTAAACGAAAGGGCGTCACGCTGGCGGAAAACGATGACAACGGAGCAGCACTGCGTGGCTCGCAATCCCAGCCACCCGACGAGCTCGCAAAGTGTTGTTAGAAAGACGACCCTGCCAGAAGCGACGGCCGCGCACTCGTACATGTGCAGGAAGCACGGCACTTAAAACGTTTTAGACCAAAGCAAGTGTTAATTACAGGGGTGGAACTCATCAAATGTATTTGGGAGCAGTCACGGGAGCAGCTGAAACCGCTGTTTTGGAGCAGGTTGGGAGCAGCTAAAACTACATTCTGGAGCAGGCTAGGAGCAGCTCAGATCAGTTTTCATTGCACTTCAGCTTGTGTCTTAGACGAGCACGGGAGCAATTTCAATAGTGCTTAGCAGCACAGATGAACATGAGAGGTTAGGAACCTAGGTAGATGGGATAACACATAACAGTGTAACAGATGCGAAAACTTGGAACTTTGTGAGCCTTAATGAGAGCCAAAACGCAAGTACCATACGTTTCTGAAGATAATGTACTTGATATTTTCTGAGTGGCTTTCAGCTGCTCAAGATGCAAACCAGCACTGCTTATCGCACAACTCACGTGCTCGACATAGTAATTATATGTGCGAACCACGTGACGTGCGTAAGCAACGGACGTGCCGCTGCGTGGAGGAACAGGGCAACAAATTTCGAGTTTATCCTATTGTGCAACTCAATATCGAAGCAGCAGACTACGATTAACAGAGTTATTGTATTCAAAGCGATTAACAAGAGCAAGGTTAAAGTACGCCGAGCAGATCTACCGCTCGCGTGAGAGCTGCTGGACGGCAAAATTTCGGATCGGACAGCGTTTCCAGTTCTATCAAATCACAATTTATCTTGCGGGAATGCGGTTCCAACTTATAACGATTAAGTAGTAAACGGAATCTTTTGCTCATTTTGTTTTCCACTGGTTGACTTCTGGATCCCGGGCCGCAGAGCCTCAGGCAATCTGACGCTTAACGACTCGACCTCACCCCGGCCGACTTGCTTAATCACTGATGGTTGAAGAATAACAATCCAGTCGCATGCAGGCGGTGTAGCGCTTGGAATCCGATCCCCGAGTTTTTAGGCGCGCTTCCGACTCGAGATACATAGGGAGAATAAACAGAACAAAGGATTGCAGGGCCGACCAAGCTAAACGTGCTCATTGTTGCCAGTCGAGTCGATAGAAACCGAAACCAAGACAAAATACAATTTTTTTGGGCGCACGTTGTGCGATTTGGCGCATAATGGCGCAAGCTATTGGCAGTGGCGCAGTTTCCGCAAAATGGCGCAGGATGGCGCAGACAAATGCGTCTGGCGCAAAATGGCGCAAATGGCGCAGCCGTTCCACCCCTGTAATTATCTCTGTAGACAGCGAAGAACCATCGTCGGGCTAGTGCTCGGCATTTATTTTTGTGGTGGAGTGCGTTTCATAAAATCTGTTCTGTGAGGTATGTGGTCAATGTTCATTATTTTACTTGTGCAGTAGAATCGGCAACAATTTACTTTTTATTTATCTGAAACCTAAATCTGCAATCGCGTTAGAATTGGGGCCCATCAGAATCGTGCAAACAGTTTCTTTAAATAAAGAGCTGGCAGAGTGAAACTACCAATACCAGCTTCATTTTCCTTATTTATAATGTTTTAAAGGGAAGTCCAGATATAACGAACTACTGATAAAACGACCACTTTTCGCGGAACTATCACGTTCGTTATAAGTGGGTTTGACTGTACATGTGCTGACCTTGGAATAGTTAGGAGCACACATATATAAAGTTTGTGACGTCGCCACAGGATGGCGCCACGTCCCAGTGGCCGCGGAAATTGGCTAGGAAACACCTGCAAGCGCTGACAGATGGCAGCGGGGTGCATGTTTCGAGAGGATTGGTAATAGGACGCATAGCAACGGAGGCCGCATTGGAGTGGCTGGTTATAAAGAGCGATGCCATGACATAACACCTAGCAACCGAAGGTCGTCAGCGACGTGCCCCTTCACATGATTTCGGCGGCACGCAGTGGAGGATGGCTGTTGTATCACCGGGGCGCATGTTAACCCACCTTGGCCCCCCTTGTTTACACCGCTTCGTGGGGACAGTCTGCGGATGGCTCATTATAAAATATTAACCAACCTTGGGCAACCTGTACGCGCCGCAACGCTCCGCCTGCTGCCCAAGCAAGCCCTAGCCCCGCTGTCCCCCCCTGCCTGTTGGTTGCTGGGTAGTTACGTCATGCCGTCGCTACTCTATAACTTTGTTGTTGATCTGATGTCCATTTTGTGTGACGTAGCGCTCACACGAACGTGTATGGATTAGTACCTTTGCGACATGCGGTAAGTACACTTTTTGATTTAGTATGTCCCTTTTGTTTGGACACGATGGTACAAGATACCAGTGTTGTACAGAACGGCGTTCCTGTAACGCGTCCCCTTTAGGAGGAATGCCGCCGTTCCATCTTTCCTTTGGGGGAACTGGAACTTGTTACATTTTAACAGGAGGAGGAATAGCGTCCACTTTTTTTTTGTCCAGTGGTTCATTTTTATTTTATTTCTAAGGGGGAAACTGAAAAAATATAAAAACAATATCTTTAGGTTTATTTTGTGGTCCTCGCTTGGTGACAGACGGGTGCAGTAGAGCTAGTGGACATTGATTCTTTTTTTAGTGCCCGAGACTGCAGTGCAAAAAGAAAAACGTTTAGTCGAAGGAAAAGACACAAAAAGAGGAATGTCTCAAATTTCGGCTACTTTCTTTGCTTCAACGAATCATTATACGCCCAGAAATCTAAAGCCAACTACAGCCATCACTGAGCTTCCACAAAGATACCTTCACTTACAACAAAAGACCAGGTTACCAGACATTGAACGCATCCTTGTATCCCAAACTTTGGTTACTTAAAAGATACACATAAATTAACCTTTATTCCATCTCCCCTTCTCCCTCATCTTTAAACTGGACAACAAATTCAACCTTCTTGAAGGTGGAGTGGTAGTTTCCGAGACTGAGCTTTCAAAAGCCCTACCTTCTTCTCCACTTGTTCATCTTGCGACAGCAACATCGAGAAGCAACTGTTGTTAGAATAAGAAACTTTGTTAGGTTGAAACATGCGAGGTTGTTGTAAAACATTTGTGCAGTCTGGGCTGGCAGTACATTTGACTCATCTGAATCGCCCACCACAAACATGAACATGGATAAATGCTAAGATTTTTAAAGGTGAATATATCAACAAATGAAACATTACTTCCGCTTGTTTTCTTCTCCTGGTGTCCTTCCATCACGGCATTCAAATTCGTATGTTGCCATTTGATGTGATAGATAAAAAAACTTTGTTTGATCTATGGTAATTAGCAAAATAGAAATGTAACATATATGTAACGATGCATTTCATTTTCTAAAATGGTAAAGGGAACGAGTTGTTTACTTACAGATAGAACTTGTAACGGGAACGCGTTCCAGAAATCTGAAGGAACGAGCTTTTGTTCCTCTTTTTGAGGAGTGTGTACAACACTGCTAGATACATCAACACGTATCGAGCTATTAAATCTCTTAGGACTCGATGCCGGTCCACGTGAGTATCAAGTTGTGATTGTCTAGAGGGCCCAGCGGTTCATAATATCGGTTGTCAAAAGGACTGGTCCCGAAGCACTTACCGAGCCGCAGTGCTACAATCGAACAGGTGCATGTTTCCTCTCAATGTGAACAAGTACTTACCGTGGCTCTTGTACTTTAAACAGTGTAATGGAAATGAGGGGAGTATAATGTATTCCCCTATTAAAGTATATGAGCGGGCCTTCGTAGAACATTCACTGTTTTCACTCTTCCCCCAAACCAAGAAATGTTCATTTTGGACTTTCTATTTCTTAATGGAGTTGGGGGAGTGCTCGTACCATTTCTTCCATATTCGGTCGTACCGAGCTTGGCTGCTCCGTCTGGCCAGAGTAGAGGCCCTGTGCTTTCCCTGCCCTCACGGATGGCATGCGCAGGTGGACCACACGGTCATCATGTACCTGGTGGATCCGGACGGGGAGTTTGTGGACTACTACGGCCAGAACCGGACGGCCAGGCAGGTTGCCACGGCCATCCAGCTGCAAGATGTCAAGTACAAGCGTGCCAAGAGTGGGGCCTGGTTCTAGGGGCCGTCGACCTGTACATAGCCCTCATTAAAACCACTCGGAAGTCCTCCGCCTAGGTCACTCTGCCGGCGGGAAGAAAGGCTGGCATGGGGACGGTATGCAAGGTTCTCTAGTTTGTAGACTCGATTCTGTACGGCTGGTCGGCAATCTGGCTGCAACGCGGCAGCTCTAGACGAAAGGTCTCGGTGCGAGCGTTGCTGCGGTCGGGGTACCTTCCGGTCGCGAGACGTCTTCGTGCGGCTTTCCGAGATGCACGAACCCGCCGTGCGACGACGGATGAGCACGAATATTTCCAGCATTGAAAGAGGTACTGCAGGGGTGGCATGCTGCAACCAAGTTAACCGCAAAAGGGCACTTCTTTTGCGAGAGGTCACTCGTGTCTCTAGATCCTCTACATTCTCTCTCGATGGAGCCGGTGAGAAAGGCTTACCATTTGGTCTTTGCCCAAGAAACATTCTTGTACAGAAAAAACTGGCTGGAAATAAAATGCTCTAATTTGTGTATCTGACAACACGGATGGCTTGACTGCTTCATGGGCGGCTTGCCAGCATTAAAGTATAATTTTTCTCCCAAAGAAAGCTCGAAGAACGAGCCGGTACTCCGGAGATCTGACTGCATAGGTAGTTCGAAGCGGAACTGTAAGGTAACCATCCTCAATAATGTCCGCGGGGTAGTTCGAACTGGACGCAAAATTTCTTATATGCATCAGAGTGACGGGCGACATTGCCCTTAGAGCCAAGAAGCTTAGCATATCATTTGCAGCTAGTCTGAGGCTTTCAGTTGGTTCAGTTCAAAGGCGATCCCTAGCTCATTGATAGGCGATATGGCTCTTGATAATTGCGCAAGCAAAATGCACGTTCTCAATATTGACTTGCATGTTACGGCGGCTTTTTTTTGGCCTTGAAATTTAAACGAGCCAAACAGTTTTTCGCCTCTTGTACGCTCCTAAATGTGCAGTGTTGTTGATTACATCACCCCAATGTGTTCCATCCTGCTTCTCGGTTCATTCTATAAGCTCCACCGTCGACACTTCGTTGAACACTTTGGCTATTCAATGTCTCGTTCATATGCCTTCTACACAAAACGGCCTACGCAGCTGGGAGTGAGTCGTTTATTCGGGAAAAATTTAGCGCCTTTTATGAGAAAAAGGGTACAAATACACCGCAGGCGAATCTCCCATAAGCAGCCAAGCCATGCATGGCTTCGCCGCTTCCATTTTATCAGTCGGGTTTTGTTTCCGAAGCGGGACAGCTTCTGAAACAAAGACAGACTGACAGAACAAAAGCTTCCACTTCATTTTAATATGAAGATGGTGTTGTCTGCAGTAGCGAAAAACGGCATCTAAATTCCTGTTGGCTGCAACGCATCATGTGGCTCCATAGCAACGGCATCACCATTGCTAAGGAGCCAGTCCAACTGCTGGCAGCGCAACGGGAGGGGGGGACGCGGGTATGCGCTGGCCTAACATTAGGCCTAACGCTGTGCTTTGAGGTCTGTCGTCAATTAGGACCCGCAGCTAGGGGCATGATGATGAGAGGACACGTGATTTCAGCACGCGGCGCGCCGAGCTTCGCACTCCCACCACTGCCTCGCCCAGCGACGCAGCAGTCATCAGCGAGCGCACTGCCACACTTCCTGCCGGCACTGCGGCCGCTTCTGCTCCTCTCAGCGCTGAGGAACATGGCGGTGCCTGAAGCATCTATATCATCGTCGGCCATTCAATTGGACATTAATGTAACTCACAAGTGCTTAGGTGTCCTTAGAATTTTTGTCAATGTCTGTTTCAATTACACTGATTTCTGCGAAAGGTTGATTTATGCACTTTCTCAGCAGCAGCTATGACGACTTTTGGTGAGCATGTATTCCGTGGTTTCTGTTGACTCTGTTTGCGTGTTTGCGACGTCTGTTCCTCCCGTTGCTATGCATCAGTGATTCGTCCGGTAAGTGCCATTTTTCTCTTTAGACTTTTTCCAGTTCAGTTGTCTGTCAATTTGCTGGCTGAGCTTTGAATTTCCGCTTCGATAGATATCCCACAATGCGGTTGTTTAGTTGTACAACGTAAGTAAATTCTTCAAGCTCTTCAGTGGTTCATAGACTCACCTGGGTACCTCAGTTAACAGCCGTAGTCTTTTAGTCTCGATCTTAAAGGGGTACTTCAACAAAATTTAAAATATATCCGTCGTGTTCAAAAATAGGTTGAATATGATCCACAACATCCGTAAATGACAATTGCACGTTTGTATTTTGAGCCTGGTGGCTGTATTTTTCGTTATAAATGGCCCACTCTGGCAAGCGCTCGGAGAAGGCCCAGCTTGGAGCACGTGACATCCGACGCAATCGTGACTTAGGTCGTCTCGGGACGAGGAAAGCTTTGGCGAGGCTGACGTCGAGAGGATGGCCTAGTCGTTCCAGCCACCGAAGCGGCTGCTTTTGTACGAATTCTAAGCGACGGGTTAATCTTCTATAATCTTGTAGGGGGACAATAGCGACTTCTGCGACACACAAAATGCATTCTCGGGAAGAGGGGAACTCTTCTCTCGTCGTGGCCGGAGGCGAGACAACCTCCGTCACTAGATGTGAAGGTTCCTAGAGTGGCATTACAAGCGAGGCGTTAGCGACATCCACCAGGTGCTCTTTGCTAATCGTTTAATTTGTTTTAAAATTCCTTTTCGTGACTTTAACAAGATATTGTGTGTTCGATGTGATATTGCTCCTTTGAACATATATAGACCATAAAATAAGCGCCGAAATTTCGTTGTAGTATTAAGGGAGGACACTACCCAAAAAGGTCAACTTTTGAACCTTTGGCTTAATATGAATGAAATTTATGGTATATACTGGAAGTTCCAAAGCAGAATGCAGTGCAAAGTTTCATCTGTGTATACATGAATTGTGAAAGTGCTTTTATCAGGAACACACAGATATTGTTTAGGAAAACTATCGTTAGAAAATTAATGTAATCAACATTTTTCTTCACTAGATACGCAGCAGAATACCTGGAGAGTGCAGCTGTGAAAACAGTTTCCAGAAAGTAATTTATTTCATGCTAACATCATGCTGAAAAATCAATTTCTTGCCTTTTATCCTGTTGACAAAATCGTAGCATACTTTAAAAGACATCCACAAAGTAAAAACAAGTGTCACAGCTGCATTGCCTATTAAATTCCGCTTAAGAAAAACAATGAGTGAGCCTTTCCTTTTGTCCGATTACCAAACGATAGCTTTCCTAAAGTGAAATTTATTCCAAAAAGTGGAACAGAGAAAAACATGTTCCAAGTGCTCGAACCTCTTCCTTTTTGTTTTAGCATCAGTGGATCGAAAATTTGTAAAAAAATAACTATGCTGTGTAAACAAATGAAAGTAGTGATGGCCTGTAGCTGAGCCGGTTGGTTATCCATCCTTACTGATCACCAGCTGAACGTTAGGAAAAGCGATGAAGAGAGAAAGAAACACTGCTGGACTATCAACCGTTTTAATAAACTTCCTTTTCCTCAACCCATTCCTTAAAAGGGTAGCTTCTTCAGTCAGAGCTTAGACAGAAACTTCCTTTTTCTCCTCACGAAGCGTGGAGTTCTCCTCTTCGACTTTCCCCATCCTAGAAGGGTAGCTTCTTCAGTCGGAGCTTAGACAGAAACTTCCTTTTTCTCCTCACGATCCCTGGAGTTTTCCTCTTCTTCGACTTTCGGATCTTGAAAAACTTCCTTCTTTTTGTCTTTTATACTATAGACGCTTTCAGGCAGCTGTGCATGGGCGCCGCCATAACCGACCTTCAGTTTTTGTTCCCTCTTATTCCGTTTGCTCCACTTCATCATTACCACAGCAAGACAGGTAATTGCCATTTTAAGTGTTACTGTGTCCTTCTCCCCAGCATAGGCCCTGGTGGAGACTCATCAACGCCCGCTTCAGTGTCTCGGCATCTCGGTAAGACAAGAGAAGGTCGGCTATGGCGGCTCAATTTGGCGCGCGCTGAAAGCGTCTATATTATAAAGGAAGTCTCTGAATGAAGGATAGTGCATAGACCTCAAAGCAAGCTGACTTGAGATCTATCCCTCAATCAGAGCTCAGCATTCTGACGTGACCCCAACCCCCGCAAAAGCAGACAAACTTGTGCTTCGCATAGTCCTCAAGATACTGTAAAACCCTTTATTTTCGTGGCCCCTATTTTTGGCGAATCGGTCACAGATGACATAATCGCGACCACTAAATTTCGCGAATTCCAGACGCCTGCATTGAAAATCTTAAGGACCGAAATTTTCGCGCGCCCTTAAATTTCGCGAATTCTTCAATTTGGGAAATTCGCGAAAATTGAGGGCTCGCGAACATTAAGGGTTTTACAGTAATTAACTCACCTTTGTTTCCAGGAATAGGGAAACATTTACTGAACAAAAAGTTATGTTTATTGCATGGCTAGATAGTTTGAAGTATAAAGAATACAATGTTGGAAGTACTTTTAAGATGGAACCATTATTAGTGATTCTGCAACACATTGAAGGTCAGTGTTCAATGTGTGGCAACTAAGTCGAGAATAGATCAGCTGAAAAATTTCCCACGCTTACATCAAAAATTCTATCAACATTGTATGCCTCACAAATTTAGCAACATACGGCAAAAAAAAAAAAAAAAAAGTTATATTTCTATTTGCCCTAGTTGCCGAGATATCCGTCCAGCAAATCTGCAAGGAGCCCAAAATTTGTTCTTGAAGAAACTGCTGTTTTGGCATAAATGCAAATTCAGCCTGCATAGATATTATAAATTAATATTATAGCACTAATATTGATCCACAAAATGAGAAACTTGCTAAAATAGCTGTAATATTAAAATTGCCATTTCAAAAAACTAATTTTTAGGAAATATTTGGCACCAAAGACTTGTCTCCCTTAAAGGTGTGAATGACTCGGCCCTTCTGTTACGTTGGTTGATGTCTCCTTCATCTTGCAAGTTGATCTTTGGTGCGTTGGCTGTTGAGATCTTTCGTTGAATTGTCCAGTCGGGTTTCACCATTTCGTTAAGGCTCCTCCCAGGTTTTGGCACCATGTAAGAATGGCGTACTGGTCGTCAGTTGAATAAGGTCAGCAACAATGTTTATACAAAGATAGGTATTTACATTATTTATTTCCAAGAACAAAATGCATTGTGTCCATGGAACCTCATTCCCATGTCAAGGAAATTTTACAAGTTAACCACTATTTTGAGATAGCCGTGTTCGAGTTAACAAGGTATTACTGTATTAGGAAACAACTGTTTTATTTTTTTCTGCATTCGCGCTTCAAATTTCTTTGTCAAAAAAGTGCTCAAAACACATTCAAAGTACACAAACGGGAGCGAGCTGCTATGAACATTAGTTCATCATATCCAATATTTCGGGTATGGCCGTGTACGTCATACGTGGGTTTGACTGTATTAAGGCCGATCCGAACTGGCCCCGATGCAGGCCAGTCCAGTTGGAAGTTTTGAAACTAGAGAAGTGTTGCTCAAGAAACAAGCAGAAACGAGAACCTTTCTGAAAAATACAGCATTGCGGAAGTTTCGAAGCATATTGCTTCGACATATATATTTATTAACAATGGACCTATCGTTCTCCTATGACACATAATTACAGATGTTATATACACACACTAGAGTCTCTGGGCCACATCTAAGCATCTTCCCCACTGTAGTGCACTCAGCTGAAGAAGTACACCGAATCCAGGACATTCTTGAGTTCGAAAGAGCCTGAAAAAATAAAGTGGGGCATTAAGACATCACCTTGGTCGGGGCAAAATAAAAAATATCACAAAATATTTACCTAGGCAGCAATGACAGCATCAACTAAGGCCACTCAGGCTCTCAACAAAGCGTCGGCCGTGGTTCTTCGGCTCCCCAGGGAGCTTTTTCTCAACTACCGTAAACAACTTAATGTTCCCGCACTCAATATTTTGCAAATTTTGCAAAGTGTGGGTGTCCGGAATATTTAGCGGGCACAAGTTTTCGCGGCTTAGAGTTACATGAGGCATATCTGTAGCCACGTAATGGTGCGCTTGCGAGATCAATCGTCGAGAGATTTTGAAGTCCCGCAATTCCCGAAACTGACGTCGTTCACATCAGCTTTCACAAAATGTTAAATTACAGATTACTACTAATTGTTATGGCTTTACAAGCGCGGGCTTTCAACCCACAGAAGGGACTGCCCCAGCTTGCGGTCTGAATGGGGTCGGAGGACGAAGCTGCTTGGGCTCACCTTTCTGAGGAATCTGTGTGAGGATCCTGTTGAGCTTCTGCTTGGCCAACTCCCCCAAGGAACCGTCACGCAGCAGCTCGCTGCACATGAAATGAACGCGCGTTCAGAAGAGGCTCAAAGACGGCAGACCCACTTTAAGATTTGTTAAGATCATGTGTTGGGCACATCAAAAGCTTGCACCGTGGCTTTACTGGAAAAATAAAAGAAGAAAACCAGATAGAAGGCCACATAAAAACAAACTCTAATCAAGTGGCTATGATTCCAAGAAACCTGTACACATTCTATGCACAAGTAAACAGTCTCTCAATACTTCACTAGGGCTCTAATCCCTGTTTGCAACACTAGTTTTGTACTAAGCTTTCATAACCTGTTCACCATGTCTAGTTTTACCGGGAGGTATGGCACAGGGGAATCTTGATTGTGCATCCCCAGTCTTTGCAACGTCCCACGCTGTACGACGTTTCGGCGCGGGCTCGGTGAACTCCCCATTAAAATTATGCACTAGAAGTTTGGGTTTTGCGGTGTGCGATTACAAGCGTCTTGCATTGTACGGCGATCCTGGTGCATTGCATCACTGAGAAAAACAAACTAAACAGAATAAGCAACCCCTGCAACTGTGCCGGTGGACATGTCCGACATCCTCCCCTTTTCTTCTTCCCCCGGGAAGCCGTTCTTCGTTCAATCTAATTCACCAGCAGTGTTGCTTTTCGTCATTTGCAGGCATGTGCAAATAGTAGATTTTAAGTATGAAAAGAATTCAAAGCAAATGGGGGTTTTGGCCAAATACTATTTTCTAATCAAATATTGAATAGTTTCTCTAAACATTTCACTACTGAAAATGCTTCAACGAAAACCCAACTGAACTTGTGAAAGCTGTTGCCAAGCCTCCATCCACATGTTCATTTCGAAGATAAGTTACTTTTATACTGTATTTATTGACTGTGGCCTCCAAAAGTACAATGGCAAGTAAACAATGCATTTGACAAAGTTAAACCTATAGAGATGCCCAGCTATATTTAATCAAAGGGGGTTATAAATATTCTTGTTATATGCAAATGTCTTTTCTTTTATCACATAATATTAACACAGGTTGTCGGGGCATCTAATGTCAATATCAACATTCATGAAGTTTCCATTTCTTTCTAAATACATCAGGCACGTGCGTGCACCATCACGCTTTAGAAATTAGCATTTCTCCTAAGTACGAGGCAGCGATATTTATAGTTTTTAAAGTGTCGATCGCAATGGATTAGCCCCATTGAGTGCACTTCTTACCAAGCACCAGTGTACTGCGGGTAAGCCCCACCTGTGAAGGCAAGCTCCGCGGGTGTTGCTTCCACGCATTGCTCTGGTGATTGGTAAGAAGTAGTGATGAGCCGAACGTTTGCTGAATCGAAAATTTGGAGCCGAATCTTGGGACTCGGCAAAGCTGAACTTTTGCCAAACTTTTCTAAAGATTCGGCAAAGATTTGGCAAAAATACATTGGTACCAGACTTAATGTTGATATTAAGTTTTTCCTGTTGGAAAAAAAGTTTTATGTGGTTTTTTCGTAACTTAAATGGAACACCAAATGCATATTGACACAGTTATTACTAAATAAGGTTATATTCTACAATATCATTGTATCGGTGTCGTTTTTGTGTGTTTACTGGCAATTTTAGTGACTTCTTGCAGAAATGGCGTCACAATGAGGTTGGGTAGTAGCGGGCACAGTCACTAATCATGCTACAAGAGTTTCAGTTTTGAGGCCTCATCAGCGCACAAGCGTGCAAGTGTATGTACATTGTTAAAATAAAGGCAACAAAAGTGTGTTCTTACTTTCTCTGGGAGTTACCAATTCGTGCACGAAAATGAATGCAAGAGTTGCTGAGCCTTCACCAGAAGAGATAACAATATTATTGTAAATATCCATGTTTTTCGATTTGAGTCGCTTGACATCAGCTTTGCATGAAAGTGTGCATCCCATGTTTGCAACGTCTCGTTTTTAACCTTTAAAATGCCGGTTTCTGGAGTTAGGACATACACGCACATTCAGGAAGATCTTAAGAGTTAGGAACGTCGGATGTGCAACTTCAAGCATGATAGTCCTGTGTTTAGTTCAATGCAGATACATTAAAACCGCAAAATAACGCTAATTAAAAAGCAATATTGTTTTGCTTAGGCACAAACTACTTGTGAGCCGAAAAGAGGATTGTTATAATTGCGAGGAGTGCTTTAAAGTAATGGTCAGTCAATGTTTCAACTACCTCGTTGCATCACTGGAAAGGTCAAATGAAGATCAAGTTATCCGGAATGTACCGCGTAATTTGTCACTTGCGCAGTGGACTGCGTAAATTACTGGTCGATCTTCTGTTCTGGAAGCAGAAAATATTGAAGAGAACCACACTTGCAAAGGCTCGCAATGCAAAGTTACTGTGTTGCCTACTTCACACCTTGCCGTAACCTCTGTACGATGGTGACCGCACAGCGTCCGTTTGCAATCTATAGCCCCCTCGCATTTTTTCGAGTGTGCAAATATTTGCAGAATTTTTGCTGAATCTTTGCAAAACTTTCCTTCAAAAGTTTGGCATGTGCAGAACTTTGCCAAATCTGAAGTTTGACAGATTCAGTTCATCACTATACTCCGTGTCACTAGCTGTGTGCAGTACAAACGAAGGGAGAAAGGCGAGGGGAGAAAGGGCAAACACTAAGATGGTTGGGGAGGAGGGGAGAAACCTCCTCTTTTCTCTAACGTTCCTAGCGCTCTCTCTTTCTTCCCTCACCCTCCATTGTCCTCTTCTCCCATCCTGCCTTCCTAGTGCTCACCCTTTCTCTCTTCACCTGGCATTGCCTTTGCCTGCACTGCACACAGCTAGTGACACGGTGTACAGTAAGAAGCGCACTCAATGGGGCTCACCAGCCACAATCAACACTTAGAAAAATATGATTACCGCAGCTCATTTTGAAGCGAATATCAAATAGCGTATTATTTGAAACTACTGTTTGAATATTCGCACAACACTAGACTCTTTTTTTTTTTTTTTGTCAACCTTTGCCTGTTTCCAATCACACCTTCCTTCGCCAAATACTTTACTCGACCGCAGACATTGCGGAATGGGACTTTTCAATTTTTTTCAATACAGAGTCTGACACCGTCATACAGATGTTTGTGAGGGACGGAATAGAAAAGATCCTCTACGTCGATGGAGAACCAAGTGGTCCCCCTCAGGACTCCTTACAGAACTCTTACAGGGAGCTACTGTAAGAGTAATTACAGGCAGGGTGTCGAACCGAATCGAACCGAAAACCGGAACAGAACCGTTATTTTTAGCCGAACTGGAACTGAACCGAACCGAAATCTTCGCCACCATCTTGGAACTGAACCGGAACCGAACCAAAAAAAAAAAATAATGGTAAACGGTTAAAGGTAATATTTTTTTTTTGTTAGTATCACAAAATGAACATATGGGAATAAAAAATTGGCGGCTGTATTTCTACCTATTGATCAAATCGTCATATACAGAATGACAATGTACGATAAATTGTGGGTTCTCGTCGTGGCACCTTTGTTTTGGCACCATGATTAACCAAGTGTCACATTGTCACGTGACGTCATGGTGTCAATACCTGTTGTCAAGTAATGTCACGTGGCCTCGTGACGTCACGTGACCCACTGCGTCAACTCGATTTAATTTGAGGAACTCATTAGATGCATTAACCTTGTTGATGCCATGACGTAACATGACATCACAATTTCGCACCGAGAGTCACGTGACACCGTGACGTAAGCGATTTTCGTAACCACTAGTCGAGTGCTCGGGTTCATGACAATCAGCATCGCCGAACATTCGGGTAACGGCTCATATATGTCAATTAATTATGATAATTAATACCCCAACTCTAACAATATCTGAAGCTCAGCCCAAGCCTTTGCTTTCCAAACCCTAGCCGCCTAGGGCATGACTGTGATGAACACTGGCGGTATATAATTAGCGTCGAAACACGTTGCCGCTTGTGCAAATTGCTAGTTGAGGAGATATCGGCAGCTGTCTCTGTCCTTTATTTTTTCTGCATCTGTTATTAGGGGAAAACTGATGGATGTTTCCGCAAGCTATCAACGTCAGGGGTTATTTCTTAACACTATTTATTCAAAGCACAAAAAAATGTTGCAAGACCAATTTTACATTATTGAGGCACCGAAACATTTTTTCGTTGTTGCTGAACTGCATCCGAAAGATGTCCCTGAGAATAGAAGTTTTGAAATGACTAGTAAATGCGACTTATTGATATGACGTTGCATAGAACTACACGTGTGTAGGGAAGGAATAACTAAAAAAAAGAAGATATTTTAGTGACCTCAGAGGAACAGCCGAACGTTGGCAGTCGCTGTAAGTCTCACACGAGCGTCGTTCTCAAGTTATGGCCCAAGTTTCGAACCCCTCTGTATTTTGCTTAAATGAGATATAAAAATATTTTTATACATTACTAAATACTACTAAGGATCACTCCCTAACGTTAATAACTGATTGAACTTGGCTTTGCTCTTTTTTCTAGGCAATGGCAGTCGCTAAAAAATTAAAGAAATATGAACATCGTTCATCCCCTCAACTCGGAGCCAGAAGCGGCCACATGGCCTGGTGCCTATGTTATGACGCCAACGTTAATCATACCGCCACGCTGGAGTTTTAAAGGAAGAAAACGCGTGCTAGAGCTCCAGGCATTGTTAGAGGTCGGCCATTCTCATTACCGCAATGGTTGGACACGAGCCGCTACCCAAGTGTCCGCCGAGGCATTGATTGTTACGAGCCGATGTACGGTGCTCACGCAGTTCTCCTGTCCAATCCATGAGCCGCGCTCGATTGTCGACAGGCGCGTGGTTTTGATCCCACAATTACGACATCAATCTTTGGGAAGGCAAGACTAAAACAAATAGTCTCGTTTAATCCTCGCAATTTCATCGTGACAAAGAAGCTTCTGAATCAGTGGCAGCCTGTGCAAGTACACTTGGGCCAGAGGACCAGTAAGCCTCGGAAAATTAATGAACATTCCAACCCGAAATCGTTTCATGACGCCCTTAAACTTCACAGGGTGCAAAAAAAA